CGTTAGAGGGAAAAAAACTAACAATAATGAACAACTTTATACCAACAAATTTTAAAACATGGAAGAAATCGTCACAGTCCTAGGAAAGATGACATACCAAAACTAACTAAAGACGGAAAAAATTTTCTAAATGGTCCTAAGATCATTAAAGACATTGAATTAGTAGTTTAAAATCTTCCCACAAAGAACCTGCTAGGCCTAGATAGTTTTTAAAGTGAGGTTCATTTTAGAAGTTAACAAAAAGGAATAATTCTGACATTATATTAAAATTTTCAGAGACGACAAGTAGAGGAAAATTCTCCAACTAATCTTACAAAACTGGTATAGGCATACTGCACAGAACATTTTCCTGATTAATGTTTTCCCAGTAAATCACCTTTTGTATTTAACATCCAAGATCATACAACATATGTATCTCTCAAAACAACATTTCAACTGATATTTATACCGGAAAATTATGTTTAGGTCCCCAAAACTCAATACAACATTTTTACTAATAACAAAAACCAGGGAAAAACAAAGCAAAACAAAAACAAAGCCCAAGTGTGGGGAATGCCCTGAGTTACATTTCAAATACAATTAATAAAACATCTACATCATGTATCACCAAATCAAAAAGCATACTGAGCCCTGGTCTATATGGATCGGTTGGTTGGAGCACTTTCTGTAAACCAAAAGGTGGCAGGTTTGATTCCTGGTCAGGGCACATGCCTGGGTTGTGGGCTTGGTCTTTGGTTCAAGAGGCAACCAATAAAATATTTCTCTCTCACATTGATATTTTTCTCCCTCTCTTCATCCCTTCCCCTCTCTCTAAAATCAGTAAGTATGTCCTCAGGTAAGGATTTAAAAAAAAAAAAAAGGGTATACTGACTATCAAGAAAGGGCTATGCCACACAAATACTACTGGTGATAAAAGAAACATTGAAGTATCTTTCTTTCACACATTCCCACAGTGCCTTTCATATTTTATATTGCCCTTTTTTTCTCTAGTTTTATAGAATGAGAACTTAAAAAGTTGAAAAAGTGTAAAAGAACTTAGTGGAGAGGGAAGCAAAGCAAGCAGAAAAGAAATAACAATGAAAGAACGTGTTACTGGGGACAGAGCAACTATTTGTTAACGACTCTATTGTTTGGCAATCAGGAAGCAAGGTTATGAACAATTACAGCTTAAAGCTATAATTCGTATATTTTAGATACATTTCATGAAATTGGTTTGGGTTAGCGAATAACCCATTATAATAATTTCATCATTTAAATTAAAGCAAGAAAAGCGCCCAGTTAATGTTTCTGCATAAAACATCTGATTTGCAGGAACAAACTAGTACTATTGAGGAAATAGCTCTATAATTTTAACATCAAAACTACCAAAGATGATGTGAGAAAGATACCTATAGTCCCATCTTATCCATAAATGTAAGTGCAATAATTCCAAACAAAATATTTTTTTAACAACAAATTTGGTTTCTTCCAGAAATGCAGGATTAGTTCAACATTAGAAAATGTATTAATGCATTCACCTCATAAACAAATTATAAGAAAAACCCTCATTTCATTACAGGCAGAAAAGACATTTAATAAAGTCAACATTCATCTATGATAAAAAGTAAATAAAGCAAACTGGAAATATGAATAGAAGGAAACTTCCCTAACCCAATAAACAATAGCAAAGGCATAAAAATATCAAACACACATGCTGACATTTTAAGAACATTCCTTTAAAGTCATGAATAAGACACAGATGTCTACTATTATCACTCTATTCAACATTGTTCTGGAGGTCCTCTCCTGGACATTCTCACACGCACAGACATGCAAGAGGTGTAGGAATGGAACGGAAGAAATAAAGCTTCCACAGATGATACAATTGTTTAAGGGGAAAACCCCCCGAAATCTATACATTATTTTAAAAAGATAAAAGGTATTCAAATTATTTAACATGAGTTGGATATTAAATTGGACCCCTAGCACCCATCATAAACAAAAGCACCCACCATAATCAAAATAAAATAAATGTGCTTTGCTTCTCTGCAAAATCTTAGGATCCTGATGAGAATATTGGAGTAGGACAAGGAGTAAGGTAAGAAAACAGCTCACTTCTCACTCTCCATGTGTTACAGGATGCATTTTCTCTTGCTGCCATAACAAGTTAACACAAATTGAGCTGCTTAAAACAACACAAGTTTATTATTACAGCACTGTAGGTCAGAAGTCTGCTGTAAGTCTTACTGGGCTAAAATCAAAACATTAAATAGTCTGTGTCCTGCCCTAGCCAGGTGGTTCAGTTGGTTGGAGAGGCGTCCTGTACACCAAAAGGCCACGGGTTCACTTCCCAGTCAGGGTACATACTTAGGTTGCAGGTTCAACCTCTGTCAGGACATATATGGGAGGCAACCTACTGATGTTTTTCTCTCTCTCCCCACTCCCTCTCTCTGAAAATCAATAAAAATATATCCTCAGGTGAGGATTTTTTTTTTTAAAGGCTGTGCTCTTTTCTAGAGACTCTAGGGGAGAATATGCTTGTATGCTCATTCAGGTTGTTAGCAGAATCCAATTTCATACATTTGTAGGAATGAAATCCCTGTTTCCTTGATGGCTGTCAGCTGAGAGCCATTCCCAGCTTTAGGAGGTATTCTTTAGCTTCAAAGATCTTCCTACATCTTCAAAACTAGGAAGTAAGTTTAAGTCCCTCTCCTGCCTTCTCTTTTGCCCCATCTCTGAGTCTTCTGCATTCCCCTTCAGTTTGTATCTCCTCATATTATGGTCCCAAACATTAATCACGTCTGCAAAGCACCTTTTACTATGTAAGGAAACATAGTCACAGGTTCTGGGGATTAGGATGTGGACATCTTTGGGGAACCATTAATCTGCCTTCCATAGGGAAACTGAGGTTTTTCCATGTTTGCACTAATACTGTATGTAGTTTATACATCCTTGCAGAACACCTCAGCCCCAGCAAGGAAGGCGGGGAGGAGACCAGGTAGAAAATATCCCCTCTCTTTTTCTCGTGTACTTTCTGCTTGCCTTTGCTTAATTACTGAGTTTTCCTTACCAGAATGTGTTGAGACTGAAGCAGACAGAAAGATGATGAATTTAGGATTGATTTCCTGACACCAACTCTCATCCAATAATTGGAACAAATGCCTCCCTCTACTCTTGAATCACCCAGAATTTAGGGAAAATATATGAAGGGGAGAACAAAAAAAAGCGAGGTGGGAGCATTCAAAGAATTCAGCAGCAAATTCCCCTCTTCCTTAAGAACTCAACCTAAGGAGTTTCCATACCTGGGTGATGGTAAACAAGAGGAAGGATCTAACTCCTTAGAGTCATTTATTGGATGTCACTATGTACTACAGAGTGCTAGATGATTCCACAAACCTTTCTTAATTCTTTCAACTAATCTATGTGGTCCATGGGTAAGTTAACATCCTGTAACTGAGGAACCTTGGGCTCAGAGAAGTGCTCATTTACCTAAGGAAACATGTGTCAAAGGCAGATTTAAGCCTTGGTCAGCTGGCTGTTCCAGCCCAAGGAAATTTCCTCTCCCTAACTTTCTCCAGCAAGAAGGCACATTAAGGTTTGTTATAATCCCCTCACAGTACCCTTCAGTGTCTTTAAATGACACTCGTGGAGGTGTTGTCCTCCTTCCGCAGCCTTTCTCTTCCCAGGGTGTTACAGTAACTTCCTAATGAAGGTCTTAGAGCTATTTACCTTCTTGTGATCATTATACATTTACTTCTTCAGTGTAGTCGTTTTCTCCACTGTCCCCAAGTTGATGTTGTCATTCAGGCTAGCCCTTGTGTGCTGACCGCTCTGGACAGTGGGCTTAATTTCCTTTCCTTCCTTCCCTCCCGTTCCTTTTTTCAGCAGTAAGCTTCAAATAAACAAGGAAAGGTGCTGGAACGTGGCCTCTGGATGAGTCTCTGCTAAGACTCATAGGAGCAAGGACACCACTTGTCACCGTACAGCCTGTATCACTACAGTCTCTAACCCGCCAATGAGTTATGATTATCAGCAAAAAGCCAACAAACGACCTTTGCTTTATTTTTGTAGTAGTAATTCTAAAATTTTAGCGCAAAATCCCAGCTCCTTACCACAAGTACAAAGCCCTATATGATTTGCTTCTGCCTGTATCTTCTGCTGCAACTTAAGCCACTCTGGTTGAAATGTGATTAGTCGGGATGAAATGTGCTAGAAATAGAAAACATGCACCGGCCTTTTAAGGCTTCGTAGGAATAAAGGAATGGAGAATATATCATTAAATTTTTATATAACGACATGTGAAATGATATTTAGCCTGTGTTGAGTTACTATTAAAATTAATGTTTCTCTTTACTTTTATATGTGGCATTTTGAGAAGTTTACATCACTCTCGTGGCTCACAGTGTATTTCTGTAGGACAGCACTATTGTTTCATTCTTAGTGCTCACACTACCTGTACTGACAGTGTGCATGTGTTACTTACTGCTCAGTGGCTTTCTCACCCAACCAGAATGTAAGACAGGTACCTTGCCTGTCTCCTTCACACCTGATTCCCAGGCGTTTAGGACACAGCCGGAAGCACAGTAAGTACTCAGTAAATATTGTTTGAATGAATGACCTTACTCTTCCTCAGCTGGAGATGCTGAGCTCTGTCGGCCCTCCTCCAGGACACGAGGTCCTGAGGCTTTCTGGGCTCCACGCGCACCTCAGCGCTGACCAAATGCTCCCGACACTGGGAGGAGAGGTGGGTGAAGATCCACACTTGAAAAGACCTCTTTCTCCGCGGAAAAGAACTGGGCGCACAAAGCAAAAGGGGGGCGGCAAGAAAAACCTTCTGCCGTGGAGACCCGCCCCACTGTCAATCACCGGGCACTTTGCCCTCCCGCCACACGGCGGCGTTTCGCGAGCGGGTGGTGGCCGATGGTACAGCCCGTTCTCCCCGGGCCCTGGGGAGAGTGGATCCTTCCAGTGGTAGAAAAGCATTGTGGGAAGGTTGCGCGGCCTTTCTTGCCCTCGTGCCCCGGCTATGCTGAGGTACTTCTGCGATTCCTGGATGGCGGTGACCCGAAGAGTGCGACCGCGTGGCCTTTGCCTGCCCGAGCGGTGGGCAGGTCGTGCGGCCGCCCTGAGCCCGGTGACGCGCCCGCAGCGGCCCAGCCGGGTCCGAGGTCGCGAGCCGTGAATGCGTGGATGGCAGCGGCTTGGTCTGAACTGGGTCGCGTTGTGGGTGAAACCTCAGGAGGCCCCGAAACGGACCTCCATCTGCGTTCCCACGCTAGGAACTGGGGACATCGGTTTGAGTGCCTTTGAGTTTATTGGTCGTCGGCCGTGTATGCCAGGGAGTTTTTAACATAACGAGGATTTTTTTTGTGAAAGGGAACGGCCTTTCACAGTGAAATCGTTCGACGTAGAAATGAAGAGACAGGGTTTAGATCATGACAGTCTGTCACGGTCCCGAGCTTGGCGGAAACCGAAGAGTACCACAAACTCTGCAGGTGAGTTTTCATGTGTGTGTGGGGGGAAAAAAAAAAAAGACCAGTCGCGTTAAACTTAAGATTTTAACTAGGTAAAAAAACACTCTGTCTTTCACTTTTCATTACCCTTTCGCATTTTGAGTTGTAAAAGAAAATGTAGAGCCGGGAATAATTATTCCCGTTCCAGGTGTAATCAACAACGGTTCATAGCGGGTTGATTGAGGGTCAGCAACCTTGTGCCGTGATTCATCGGTCTTTCTGTAGCGACTTTAATGTTGCCTTTGTGTTGCCCGTTCACCTTCGGAAACTAGTGAATGTGGTGTCAAAAAAGGCGTAAACTAAACACTTTGCAGCCCTTTCCTGCCCTTGAATATGATGTCTTTGGTGTAGGAGCTACATAAGTAACAGTTTATGCTTTTACATTAATTTGTTTGCATACGTGATCTTGAGTCTGCCAAACTTTAGTATAAAATTTCTCATAACCGATTTTAACCAATTTTTGTGCAGGTAAAAGATGGGTGTTTGAAGCGTAAACTGCTGCTAGCTGACTACTACTTGGGAGCACACCTGTGACCTAAGGTGAGGTGATGTTGAAGTAGTTCTGCTAGAAAGTTATTTGTAATGGGGACTTTATCACCTTCCTGCATTGAGGTACCTTTTCCTGTGGGTATTAGTTTAAACTGGACATTGTTCATTAGCATCAGCACTGCTACATCTGTAATTAACAAGGTGAAGATAATAGTAAATTGGATTGCTTGTTTTTGATATCTTAAGATGTTTCTATGTGTAGCAGTTACATTTAGGGGCGGGGGGAACACGTGCCAAATCTCAGGCATGTTTTATGTTGATATTTAAATCAGACTCCAGAAACGCTTAACAATGCAGTACAGAAGCATGTATTCAAAGTTTATTAAGGTACGATACGTGTAAATACTTGCTTGTAAAACTGAGTGTTTTTATTTTTCTTTTAGGATTTTTTGATGAAGACTTTGAAAAGTTGATCTTCGCAGGAGTTGCTTGGATCATTTAAAATTTTCATGAGTCTGAGGAGCACGCTAACTACTTTTGGACAGTCCATACATATACACTTCAGTGGGTCTGAATAAATATTTACATGTGCTTCTTGGAGGTTTGTGTTTTGTGTGACTACCAGAAAATAGCGGGTTTTTTTACAGAAAAATCAGGATTTCTCCCTCCTCCCCCAGCAACTTCGAAAGTGTTAAATCTCAGCGGTTAAGATTAATATTCATTGCTATAACAGATAGGCTTATGAAATAAAGGCTTACAGTGAGCCCAAGGAGAAATGTGCCTTCTACCAGTGCCTCATGATGAACTGAACTAGACTAGTTGGTTTGTAGGGCATGGGTTTGCTTTTGCATTGTCACTGCATTTTTCACGAGATTGTAAACTTTACATTGGTATACCTTCTGCCTTCACTTTGCAAGAAAGAATGTGTTCCAAGTATTCAAAAAATGTATTTAAAGCACTGTGTTAGGAGCTGGGAACACAATGGTGATCAGTATGCCCCTCCCTTTGGAAGTTTACAAGTGAATGGAGGGAAGTGTCATCACAAAGGGGATGTCTCCTTTGTGAGACAAATACCCCTCAAGGAAGAATTTGCATCAGGGAAACCTGAGAAAGCAGAGTTGGGACCAAGCCCAGGTGGCAGTTTTGCTGCGCAAAGTTGGGGGAATGGCTTGTGCGGAGAGGCCTTCAGCTAAAGGAGGTGTGACCGGAGTCCCTATTTGTGACAGTTGTAGCTGCTTTCCCTTATTAGTGCCATGATGTAGACAAGTGCTTAATGAGGCCCATTAGGTGGCCATTAAGAGACCTGGGAATGTTACAAACAGGCTGAATGGGGAAGGTGCAGACCACTTGAGGCTGTGTTTAAAGCAAGGGGAAATCCTATGTGTAGAAGTTCACATTTGCGAGGAAAAGGATACAGGTCAGCCAATCTGGTGGCGATATTAGTAGAGGGATAATTAAGCTATGGAAGGCAGAGATGACAGGACTTGGAAATAGAGGAGGGAGGTGTCCATATGATTACTAGGTGTGTAGACTAGCACAATAATGCCCTAAATCCAGCTCGGGAAGCGGAATTTTAAACTAGTTTGTCTCTTGGAAGAACACTGGCTGGCTGGCTAAGCTATAGAAATAAACCTTAAGGTCATGGGCATGAAAGGAGTGCTGGGGAAGGTGTGGTAAGGGGAAGGTGAAAGTCATCCGCACAGGGCAAAGGTCTGAAATATGAAATAGTCTGAGGAGAGTTAGATAGCCAGGCAGAGTGGAGGGACCATTTGAGATTGAGGGTATTCACAAATTTTTAGGCCAAAATCCACATAACAGCCATTTTTTTTTTTATCAAAACAAGACAGCACTAGAAATTATGAGCAATGCTTTCAAACAAAAAGCTTTACATTTGTAAATAACCAGTGGAACTTAATGCCACAAAATACAGCCTTAAAAAGAACATTTATGTGAATAAAAATTATCTACAATCTTAAAGTGATGTGACCTCAGTCCTCATGCATCCACACAGGCCAAGAGCCACCTAGAGTTGGGACGGATTTCATCCCACTTGGTGTGCTGCTATTGCACAGCGGGCCAGCTGCAGTCCAGGATTCCAGATTTGGATCGGAAGCATCTGGTTTTGGTTGTGGACATGGCATCCAGTGAATGAGTTTTTACAAGACTATCCTTCCAGTTACCAAATAAAAAGGCCCTTCAGCACAAATACACTGTAGTTAAACCTTTAAAAGAAGCAGCAGACTCAATTTTCTTCTGAAGAAACACTTGCAGGTCCAAGATACTTGAATAATGACAATTCACAGTTTCAAAGTAAAGGCAGCACACACACCCTTCCCACCCCTACCCCCATCCCAATCCCTTCACTGGGATCAAGTCTCTATCTTGAGGCGGGAAGCTTGAATAGTTTTTATTGTTTTTGCTATATGTTTTCCAGCCAGGCTGCTTGTAGATGCCTGAGATTTCTCCTCAATCAGGCTATCTTTAGACCCATTTCTTCTCTAAAAGGAAAATAGATTCAGAAAAAAAAATAGAGCCAAGTTAATTCATGAATACATCAGAAACTATTATTATATTAAAGGCATCAAGAGAAGTTGTATCAAAAGCTGTTCAAATATTCCCTTGTTACTAAACTATGATTAACAACATGATCGTGTTTAAATCTTAAACAGAAAAGTAAATTCGGATAGTTACATACATAAAAATTTTATTCATGAAGATTTGTCATACATCTGAACCCAGCTCTCTAATTAAGTGTCATTTTCTTTGTGGTCATTCCTAAACCAGACTCTCTGGCCTCCCACTTTTCTGAGGGGCAAAGAGAGAATAGGGAGTTGTGGGTAATTTATAGTCTTCCCTGATTATATTCTCAGCAGTCACTGAGTGAAGCTCCCATAACACAATGCTCTGGGGCCCTCTATCAATTGTGGCTAGAGAGTGCTGTCAGCTGGGGCGGCGGAGGGACTCTCAAGGGGACTTGGACTGTGAACGAGGACCGAGCTGCCAGAGCCTGGGTGCCACACCCAGCACTTCTGGAACTGGATCATGTGTATCCCCCCACCTCACCACGCCAGGCAGGGGCCCTGAGAATGACACTAACTGCCTCACAGCTCCCTGCTCTGTTGAACCTTCCCGTTCTCACCTAGCAATGGCCTCATGGGTCAGTAGTTCAGGGAAACAAGCACATTTACTTCCCCCAAAACTATATGCCACACAAAATGAGCGCTATCCAGAATTCTATTTTGACATTAATTTGGATTAAAAATAAATCATCGCTTTAAAAGTTCCTATGAGTGGCTTAATTTGTTTCACTGGCATTCAAAGAAGCACTGAAGGAACAATACGTGTGGGGAGTATGAATCAAGATAACTTTGAAACACGAGACTCTGGGACGGAAGATTTCTAGACAAACAGGTAGGAGGAGGAGACCAGTGCATGTGAGTCAGGGCAGAGGAAGAGAGCTAACTTATCAGAAGACTCACCAGATAGGACCTGGGAGGTTACCTGAAACAAACATTACATGTTTTTAAGTTTGTCTAGGACTGACTATGTCCTCTCTACCTGCAAACCTTAAGGAAATAAGCGAATCCACGTCCCTGATGCACCTCACTTAAACAAGCCCTCTGTATGAAAAGGCAAAGTGAGAAGGTACAGGCAGGCCAGGCACCTGTTCTGGCACCAAGGTGGAACTTAGGAAATGTACCTTTCCTGCTAGCACCTGTCGCTCATGGCAACTGGAACAGTGGTTTCCTTTTGGCACTTCGAATAAAATCCACCCTCTTCTCCTATGGCATCTAAGGCCCTGAGTTATCTGTCCCTCCTCCTCGCTCAACCATGCACAGACCGCAGCTCAAACACCCACGCCTGTCCCAGCCTCCTGTTTGCTCTCAGATCTGCTTACATCAGCCTCCCCCAATGCTCACCTGGCTGGCTTCTCCTCACCTGTCGGCTCTCAGCTCACAGGCCACTTTCTGAAGCGGCTTCCTCTGACTACCCTCTGGCAGAAAGGTCCCCGGTGGGCGCTATCATCAGGCCCTTGTTTCCATGGAAGGCGTACCTAATTCTTTGCATTGTGCCTGCCTGTTTACTTTTTATGTGTTATATGTCTAGGCCAGGAGACAGCAAACATTTTTCGGTAAAGGGCCAGATTGTGTATTACCTTGTATTTCTGGCATGTACTTTTTTTTTTTTTAAACCCTTTAAAAATGTAAAAATCGTTATCAGCTTCAGAGTTACACAGAAACAGGCAGCAGACTACATTTAGCCCGAAGGCTGTAGTTTACTGATCGCCCAGGCCAGTGCCTGCCCCTCCTCAGATGTGTTCATTAGCTGTTTGTTCAGTTCAATATCAAAGTGACAAGCTTAGAATCAGTGCCACTGATCAGAGGATGTAAGTGAATTGTTTTTAATTACAGCATTTAATGTGCATTCTTTAAGTTTGTTAAGATTCCTAAGTGGTGGTGATTAGTTAGGAGAGTGATTTTCAACCTTTCTCATCTCATGGCACACTAACTACTAAAATTCTATGGCACAATAAACAATGTATTTTTTGCCAATTTAACCAAAAAAAAAAAAAATAGGCATAATTTTGTCTCATTCACACAGTATGGCTATTGTTGTGTTGGCTGTTGTCATTTTTTTATTTGACAACCTAAGGGAAAAGAAGTCAGTGCCCTGACTAAATAGTCAGGTATTGCTTGTTTTAAAAATTCTTTGAGGCACACCAGTAGAAAATTGTTGAGTTAGGGAATAATCAGAAAAGCAAAACTAGAGTAAAATTCCTATTTGTATTAAAACCACCTTTAATTTAAGATTGAAGAAAAGCTCTGAAAGATAATGGCTTATTACTCCTCACAGTAACCCTAACAGGTGGGTTATTAGCGACATTGCATAGAAACTGAGGCTTAGAAATTAAACTCTTTGCCCAATCACACAAATAGTATGTGGAGGTGAGGAGACACAAATGTAGGTCTGTCTTGATGCAAACCTTAACCACTAATATGAATGTAATTTTTTAGAAGTGCTATTGATTTCAAACAAATTGTCTGTTTGAACAACCTATTAGCTCTCCCAGACACATCTAATCAAACATTATGCAGACTGTAGTGGAAATTGTGTTAACCACCCTGATCTCCTAGACTGAGGCATTTGTTCCCCCGGCTGCTGGGAATGACAGCTGTGATACAGCTCAAAACTGAGCCCCTCTGCAGTAAACGCCCTCAGCTGAAGAGAGCCACCTTGCCCAAGGTCCTGCCTCCTCTCAGCGGCCCCCTTTATCCAATGGCTGCTACATAGTGAGTGTGAGTGCGTAAAGGCCCAACCCCCCGAGTCCAGTGGGATGAATCAGAGGGCCATCTCAACTCCAGAGCTCACAGTGGAATCAGCAGATGCCTTCACTGGGGCTATGCGAGTACTACACAGTTCATCTCTTGTTTTCGCCGAAACCTCTTCCACTCCCCAGCAGGTGCTGATCCTAAGAGCGCTTTGCGATAAACTTCCTCCACGTAAGACTCTTATCCCAGGATCTGTTTCTAGGGAATCTAACCTATATAAATTAGCATAGGTTTTTTCCTGTTCTTGCTTAAGTCACTGATAAAATGAATCAGGACA